TAAGACCCCAGAGGGCTTCTTTTTCACTGACTCTCTACTTTACCAAGCATTATATCCTTCTCCGGGGAGTGGTCCCTCCTGATAACACGTCCAAAGTATGTGAGATGAAGTCTCACCATCCTTACTTTTTAAGGAGCATTCTGGTTGCACTTCTTCCAAGACAGATTTGTTCATTCTTTTGCAGTCCATGCTATAGTCGATATTCTTCGCCAACACCATAATTCAAAGGTGTCAGTTCTTCTTTGGTCTTCCTTATTCACTGTGCAGCTTTCGCATGCATATGAGGTGATTGAAAACACCATGGCTTGGGTCAGGTGCACCTTAGTCCTTAAAGTGATATCCTTGCTTTTCAACACTTGAAAGAGGTCTTTTGCAGCAGATTTACCCAATGCAATGCATCTTTTGATTTCTTAACTGCCGCTTCCATGGGTGTTGATTGTGGATCCAAGTAAAATGAAATCTTGACTACTTCAATCTTTTCTCCATTTATCATGATGTTGCTTATTGGTCCAGTTGTGAGGATTTTTGTCTTCTTTTTGTTGAGGTGTAATCCACACTGAAGGCCGTGGTCTTTCATCTTCCTCAGTAAGTGCTTCAAATCCTCTTCACTGTCAGCAAGGAAGGTTGTGTCATTCTTCATATAACAGGTTGTTACTGAGTCTTCCTTCAAGCCTGATGCCACATTCTTCTTCATATGGTCCAGATTCTCAGATTATGTAATTTATGGTATATAGAATGTGGGGGCAGTGGTAGTTCAGTGGGAGAATTCTCACAGATGCCTGGGTTCAATTCCCAGCCAATGTGCTTCATGCACAGCCACCACCCACGCGTCCGTGGAGGCTTCCATGTTGCTATGATGCTGAACAGGTTTCAGCAGAGCTTCCAGGCTAAGAAAGGCCTGGAAATCTACTCCTGAAAATCAGCCAATGAAAACCCTATGGATCACAAAGGTCCAATCCTGTTGTACAAGGGGTTGCCATGAGTCCAGGGCCGACTCAATAGCAGATAACAACAATATAAAATGTAGTGTATATTACATAAGACCAAACACCAAACCCGTTGCCGTCGAGTTGATTCTGACTCATGGCGACCCTATAGGACAGATTAGAACAACCCCATAGAGTTTCCAAGGAGCAGCTGGTAGATTTGAACTGCTGACCTTTTGGTTAGCATCCGAGCTCTTAACCACTGTGCCACCAGGGCTCCATGAACTATATAGTGTATATATAAATAGATACAATATATAAACTATGTTATACATAAAAAATAGCTATTATTTTTTATTAACAGTCATTAACATCTCAAAATAAACCTGAAACTACAGTGCTCAAACTCATGTTGAACTGCAAAAAGTTTTTGGGAAAGAAACTAAAAGCTCACAAGAAAATGTATACAGATCAAAGTTTGTTAGTGGTTACCAGGAGTGGGGGTAAGGGGGGAAAAACACGGATACTGCCTGTGGAGCACTGAGTTTTGCTTTATGGTGATGGACAAATTACATTGATTAAAGGTAGGTTTGCACAGCTGATTAAAGTAACTGCTGCCAATAAGTTGTATACCTGTAAAAAGCTGAATTGGCAAAAGTTGTCTGATAGATACGTTTGCAACAACAACAAAAAGAGCAGCTGCTGAGGCTATTTATGAACAATCAAACACCTTACGGGATTTGACTTCTTGGTTTGGAGGTTTAGGGTCATGGTTTCATGGAACATCCCAGTTAACTGACCTAATGTCGTGCTTAGTACTTCTGGTCTACTTCCTAGTTTATTAGGTAGTGCCTTGGGTCTTACAAGCTTGCAAGCGGCCATCCAAGGCACGACAGTTGGTCTTTGTCTTAGTCATCTAGTGCTGCTATAACAGAAATACCACAAGTGGATGGTTTTAACAAAGAGAAACTTATTTTCTCCAGCCTAGTAGGCTACAAGTCCAAATTCAGGGTATCAGCTCCAGGGGAAGGCTTTGTCTCTCTGTCGGCTCTGGAGGAAGGTCCTTGTTATCATCAGTCTTCCCCCGGACTAGGAGCTTCTCCGCACAGGGAACCCAGGTCCAAAGAACGCGCTCTGCTTCCAGCACTGCTTTCTTGGTGGTATGAGGTCCCCATGTCTCTCTGCTTGCTTCTCTCTTTTATATCTCAAAAGAGATTGGCTTCAGACACTATCTAATCTTGTAGACCTCATCAATATAACTGCCACTAATCCATCGTATTACATCATAGTGATAGCATTTACAACACATAGGGAAATCACATCAGATGATAAAATGGTAGACAATCATACAATACTGGGAATCATGATCTAGCCAAGTTGATACACATATTTTTGGGGGGACATAATTCAATCCATGACAGTCTCCATTCACCTGGAGTAACAGAGGAAGAAGGAAAATCAGGAATAGGAGAAGGAAATGGAATGAGTGACTAATTGCCTCCATGAACAACTGCCTTCTTTGTCATGAGACCAGAAGAACTGTACGGTGCCCGGTTACCATTACTGAACATTTTGATCAGAGAGTCTGTAGAAGAATCCAGATCAAAAGGGAGAAAATGCTTAAGAGAATTTAAAATTCTCACAGACTCCAGACTTTCTGGAGCCATGGAGGCTGGATGAACCCCTGAAACTATTGCCCTAAGATAATCTTTATACCTTAAACCAAAAATATCCCCTGAAGTCTTCTTAAAACTAAACAATTAAAAAAAAAAAAGCCATTGCTGTTGAGTCAATTCCTACCCATAGCGACCCTAGAGGACAGAGTAGAATTGCCCTATAGGGTTTCCAGGGAGCAGCTAGTGGATTTGAACTGCTGACCTTTTGGTTAGTAGGGTAATCACTGTGACACCAGGCCCCCAAACCAAACAATAGTTTAGCTTAATTAGGAAAGAATGTCTGCCTTGGGCATAGTGCTCTTTTAAGATCTATCTATTTGGGATCAAACTGAGAACAGCACCTCGAAAGATTAGATGGAAAGCTTAGTGGGCAGTGAGGGCATGTTATGGAGGAGGAGCAATTTGGAAAAGGACAGTGAGAATGGTTGCACAACTTGAAGAACGTCATCAATATCATTGAGTTATACCTGTAGAAATTGTTGGATTGGTCAATGTTCTGCTGTGTATATTTTCAGAAATAACTAAATGAAATAAAATGTAATAAAAAACAAATAATGCTGAGCAAACACCAAAACCAAACCAATTGCCGTGGAGTCGATTCTGACTCACAGACACTTTACAGGACAGAGTAGAACTGCACCATAGGCTTTCCAAGGAGTGGCTGGAGGATTCCAACTACTGACCGTTTGGTTAGCAGGCAAATTCTTAACCACTGCACCACAGGGCTCCTGACGCTGAGCAAAAAAAAGAAAAAAAGTTTATGAGAGACTTAGCAGGGAAGGATTTGACAACACTAGGGTCAAAATGATCCAGTCATGGGACTGCAAATGTGAGACAGGAAGCAGAATGTCCCCTCAGATCTGCCCCGGATGGCGGTAGTTTTTTTGTGTTGGATCAGAATAAACCAATATGAACCACTTTAAAGCAATCAACACACATCTCCAACTTCCCTTCCGGAATGAGCAGGCGAGTTCTACTCTTGCCAGCCTGGATGACTCCCGTAGTTGTGTGTGTGTGTGTGTGTGTGTGCGCGCACACACACACACAGATACACACACACACACACACACACACACACACACACACACACACGAGTGCGCTTAGGGCGGATTTTGCAGGCAGTGGGGTGGGTCTGGATGGGGGTCTGAGGCTTGAAGCTGCGTCTATCTGACCTTGCACAAGGGAGTCGGTATCTAAGAAAACGGAGGCAGCTGGTGGACAAGGGGGAGGTAGCCCAGCCCCGTTTAAGCGCTGCCATCGCAAGGCACGCTCTCATCGCGCATTTCAACCACCAGAGAGGTTACTTCTAGCACTACCACCACCACTACCCTTGATGAGCGCTGACTGTGGACGAAGCCCTACGGTGAACACTGCATACATTCATTCATTCCATCTTCGTAACAACCCAAAAGGGAGCAGCCTGGGAGGCAGGTCTACAAACACCACCGGCCGTCCTTGCCCAGGTTAAGACAAGAAGGTGAAATCCGTCTTTTGATGCACTTCACTGTCTCAAATCCCCCCCACCTTGGGGGGTGCAGGCAGCGAGCCTTCCTCCAAAGGCAGTTCAGCCCAGGCTGGCCAAAGCCGGCTCCCCCGGAGGCGCCCGCTCTCGCGCCCTGCAAAGGCAGCCCTCCGGGGCCTGCACTCGGAGACCTCGCCGCCGGGCAGCGGATTGTGCAAGCGCAGGGCTGCGCTGCCGCCACCGTCGGCTCCTGCCGCCAGGGGAGGACGGGGCGGGCTCGGTCTACACCCGGTGAACTCACGGCGCCGCGGGCCTCCGGGCGCTATCTCCGGGGTGGAGCCCGCGCGCTCCTGCCGGGCTGCAGCGCACCGGTCACCCGAGGCGCGGATGCCCTCGCTCACCTCGCTGACTCCATCCCTTTCCACCACCGCCCCCTCGTCCCGCGTCCCTGGTGGCCTGGCCAGCCCGGGCCCACTCAGCGCGCTCATTGGCCACCCCAAGCCTGCCCCGTTTCCATAAATACTTGGTCCCCGGCCTGGGTGCATGAAGAGGGACAGGAGCAAAGAGCAAGGCCAGCAGCAGCTCTTCCACCCTCTATGACACCTCCACCCCGCGGCTCCAGACCCTAGAAGTCAGACGTGCTGCCAGCCGGACCCGCATCCTTCCTCTAGTGGTCCCTCGCCCCCCGATTGCCCTCCTGCAGCGCCTGAGTCCAGCGCGCCGCGGCCGGAGGCTGCTGCCCGGTGCAGCGTCTAGCATCCTCGTCGACATCCTCTCTGCTCCCCGCCCCTCCTTCGCCCTCTCCAGCACACCTGCGGGCCCTTTTCGCCTCTCTTTCGCAGAATCGAAAGCCCCACAATCCCACCAGCCTCTCTGTAGCATCCTCGCCCTGCCCAGTCCGCGCACCTTCCCACGCGCCCGATCTCCCTTGATGCTATGAGGTCCCCCATCAGCAAGAGCCACCCCCTGGCCACCTTCCTGCAGCAGTTGCGCAGCCTCGGGCAGCCCCCCAGACCCGTGACATTGACGGCGTGCACGACCCCTCGGCCGCGGGAGGTGCCCTTCTGCCCGCTGACGGCCCGTGGCGAGGCGCAGAAAGAGTCCGCCCTGCCCGGCCCCACCAACTGGCCGCTGCTGGGCAGCCTGCTGGAGATCCTCTGGAAAGGAGGACTCAAGAAGCAGCACTACACGCTGGTAACTGCCTGGTCGCACCCCGACCCCCTCTGCCCTCCCTGCCCTGCCTTCCCAGCCGCGCTCCACACTCTCCCCGAGACGCGCGGCTGGGACGCAGGGTGCGCTCGGCCGTCCCGGCGACGGCGGTCGGGGTCCCCGGGGAGGCAGGAGGCGGGAGCAGGGAGCAGCGCCGATGCGCGCCGACTCCGCGCTGTGCCCCGCCTGCTGCAGGCGGAGTACCACAAGAAGTACGGCAAGATTTTCCGCGTGAAGCTGGGTTCCTTCGACTCGGTGCACCTGGGCTCGCCGAGCCTGCTGGAGGCGCTGTACCGCACTGAGAGCGCGTACCCCCAGCGGCTGGAGATCCGACCGTGGAAGGCCTATCGCGACTATCGCAAGGAGGGCTACGGACTGCTGATCTTGTGAGTCCCGGAAGGTGGCGGGGTGGGGACAGGCGGCAAGGCCTGATGCGCGGGGAAACTGGGGAGGGGGACAGGAGTTAAGGGTTTCCTGGGGGTCTGACCCTTCTTGTGCAAGAGCGAATACCAAAGCTCCATCCAGTGCAGTCCGGAGCTCCGCAGGCACTAGAGTGGGTTGAGGGGAGAGCTGTGAGGCGCACCAAACACCCGCGTTCTCTTTGACAGCTGGGCAAGGCTACGCCTTTCCATCAAAGAAATGCCCAAACGGGGTCAGACACACTGTGGTGTTCGGACTCTTGGGCTGGATGCGGTTCTGAAATCAGCGGTCCAGGCACACATCTTACACAAACAAACGTCTCCCTTAATCTTCCCAGAAACCCCCAGGATCCGGGCTCTTCGAAGCTCAAAAGTCAGAAATTGACTTCTTTTGCTCTTGACTGTGACCTTTCTCCCCCCGGGGCGGTTATTCCCTAGGTGTCATTGGAAAGGTGGGATGAGGAGGGCAGCCAAGGTTGCATTTGAGAAAGATAAACGCTACAATATGCTGCAGTTCCTCTGTTTTTAATCGCTAGCGTTTAACAAGTTAACACTTTTCGTTTACCCCCGAATTGTAATGCCTTAACGGTTGTATTTTTCACGTTGTAATTACTGGGGGTTAAAACCTGAATGCATGCTGCATGGCAGCCTGTATGGTCCAACACATGGTGGGGCACGTGTAATACAGGTGCTTACTGGGAACAGGCTTTTTACAACGTCGTGAATCTCTGTATGTTGTTACTTGGAGGCAATGGGCACAATTCTAAACTTGAGGTGTTTTGTGAAAACGAGGCTCAGGCTAACAGGTTGAAAGAAGACAAGGATTGAACTCAAACAGGCCCGGGTTGTTGGTGAAGGGGGTGTTCACATATCCACTCTTACCACTGTGACTCCAGGCTTCCCGTCTTCCAGCCCCACCCCTGCCAGGGCACCTCAAAAGCCCTGAATCCAAATGATCCGACTTCACCTTCCGGGTACAGTGTCTGACTGGGAAGAAAGGTGCTTTTCCATCCTCCTCGTCAAACCAGCCCCAAAGTCTGGGTCTTGCCAATATTCCTGGCACGCATCTCAGCTTCCATTTGATTGCACAGCTGATGAAACTGCAGAGCTGGAGGTAACTCTGCTTCTCCCTTCTTTTCTTTGCAGTTTGCTCTAACTGTAATTCTGCTTCTCTCCCCAGGGAAGGAGAAGACTGGCAGAGGGTTCGGAGTGCCTTTCAAAAGAAACTAATGAAACCAGTGGAAATTATGAAGCTGGACAACAAAATCAATGAGGTTTGCAGGCTGGGGCCAGCTTTCCAGGGTCTCTCGGGTACAGAGGGATGTTTGCGGAGCTTAGAGTCACACCTACAAAGTGCAGAGGGAAAAGCAGACAATTTGGAGAATTCGGGGAGTCTCCACCTTCTCCCCCTTCTGCTCCATATTCCCTCCCCCAAGCCCTTATTTCTCACTCCCTTGCCCATTTTTTAAGTAATATCTCAATGAGGGTGCAGTTATGAGCATACTTTGGTATTCCACAGTCTTGGATTTGAGCCCCAGCCTTCTACCCATTAGCTATGTGACCTGGCCTAACCTCTCTAAGCCTGTTTCCCAGTCTGCAAAATGGGAGTAACAATTCCCCCACCACAAGTTAACTGTGACGATTAAATGAGATGATGCTTGTAAAATTTTAGGCGATGACATTTGAGCTGGGTTTTGCAGGATGAGTAGGAGTCTGCAGGCCAGAGAAGACGGGAAAAGGCATCCCAGGTAGAGCCAATAGCATGCTAAAATATGGAGGCCTGAGATGGCATGGTTTGTTCATAGTCTAGTACATTTAGTGCAGCTGAAGTGAGGCTTTCTCTGAAATGATGCTGGACAGGGGACAGGTCTGGACAATATTTTTGTGCCATGCTATGGTACTTGGCCATTGTCCTTTAGCCAACAGGGAGCGAAGGAGGGTTGTAAGCATATGGTAAACTTTTTACTATTGCCCACTTTGAGTGTTTATTTTGAACTGGAATTATACCCAGATGGGATCTTATAGGTTAGGGATTGCAAACTCAGAAGCTTTCAGGAGCCAGGTAATTAATATAAGTGAATAAGGCAGGCCCAGTATGGATGTCAGCAAACAGAATAATGTTCCCTAGAGGGAAGAGCTGTCACCCAGCCCCTTCCAGTTGCTGCCACCTGGGAAGGTAGAGCCAGTGTGGCTAGATCTTGTAGTTATTTTTATTTATTTTTTTAAAGAGCAGTAGGAAATCCATATTTTTCATGTGAAATCTCTGGATTTTTAAATGGTAACAAATTCAAAGTACCATATTTTTACGCAAATAATGCACACCTTCTACGTTTGTCTGCCAACTGCACCCTCCCTCCTCCCCCTCCCAGGTATTTTCATAAACACATTATGCTGAATGTTTTTACAGCAACAAATACCACAAGTGGATGGCTTTAACAATCAGGAATGTATTTTCTCACAGTCTAGGGGGCTAGAATCTGAATACAGGGCACCGGCTCCAGGGGAGGGCTTTCTGTCAGCTCTCTGGGAAGGTCCTTGTCTCTTTTTAGCGTCTGTTGGCCTGGCATTCCTTGGTTCCTTGGTGATCTTCATGTGGCTTGGCATCTCTCTTCCCCCATCTCTGCTTGCTTTCTGGCTGGTTTCATCTCTTTTCTATCTCAAAAGAGATTGATTTAAGACACACCCTACACTAATACTGTCTCATTAACATAACAAAGAAAACCCATTTCCAAGTGGGATTATAACCACAGGGGTTAAGAGTTACAACATATATTTTAGGGGGTCATGATTTAATCCATAACAAAGCTATTTAGTTACAGAGCTGCATCCAGGATATGCAGGTCTTCTGCCTCCAAGTCCAACATGCTTAACACAACACTCCCCAGTAAGATGTTTTCTTGCCCAGACCGGGAAGTGGCAAACCTCAGGATCAGTACAGCATCATTCCCGGAGATGCTGTGTCAACGGGGACACTTGACAGATCCCTCCTTGGTGGTTTATTCCCTGTTCCGATTAGAAGAAACGCTTTTCTTTTCTTAAATTGCTGCAATCATTTTTAGATCAAAAGCTGAATGTTCAGCTTCAGGGTGGCTGCAGGAAAAGCTCAGGAAAGACCCAGGACAAGGTTGTTCGGGGATAGGGTAGTGTCCCAGAAAAATATATACCCGGTGTTACTTCAGAAAAAAAGAATGTTACGGGCGCTGAATAAACAATGTAGCAATACCTGAAGTTAGATTACTGAGCCTGACTTTTTTTTGTTTGTTTTTTTTTTTAATGATTTTAAAATGTTTTTTTGTGGTTGCTTTCTTTAAGGTCTTGGCTGATTTTATGGGGAGACTGGATGAACTCTGTGATGAACGAGGCCACATTGAAGACTTATACAGTGAGCTGAACAAATGGTCCTTTGAGAGTAAGTTGCAGTTAGTCTTGTTCATTGGATTTTGCAAGTGATATGGTGGATTAAATGCGACTTTGTCGACAACTCTCCCAAAACCATACATGATTGCTGACTAGGGAAAAGCCATACTATTCCTAGTAATGGCTCTTTAAAGCACTCAAGTTGTACCTTGCACTATGGTTTGTTCAAGCAGTCATTCAACAAACACTATACACCTGTTATGGGTCAGGCACTGTGCTAGGTCCTAGGTGCTAGATCCTGCTGCCCTGGGGGAGCTTAGACTCCTGTAGGAGTGACAGTCAACAAGTCAATATATTTTAATATATACCCCGTCAAGGGGTAAAGACAAAGCATACGGGAGTCAAGAAAGAACACGAAAGAGGTGCTGAGGTGAGGCAAGTCCTCTTAGGTAAGGTGACATCTGAGGTGAGACTTACAGGAAGGAAAGGACCAAGCCCAAGGGGTACCTGCGGAAGAGTGTTCCAGGCAGAGGAGACAGGAAGTGCAAATGCCCCGAGGTGGATGCATGAGTGGTGCCTCTGAGGAACTCAAGGATGCTGGTATGAGTGGATGAGGGTAAGCAAAGGGGACAGTGTGCAAAAGGAGCCAAGGTCACAAAGGACACAGGCACCAGATCAGGCAGGACCTGTAGGTGCTTGTAAGGACTTGGGCTTTTATTCTGAAACAGGTGGCGACCCAGCCCCTTTCTACCTTTTTGCTCATCCATCCTTAGCTTGTTAGCTTGCCGCAAGATGACTGCTGCACCTTCTGGCCTCACTTCTGCCTTCTAGGCAAACACAAAGAAGGGAGGGAAGAGCTAAGCCAGCTGCATGGCCACTGTTTATCAAGAAAGCAAAGGCTGCTTCCTCTCAGATCCCATTGGCTGCAACTGGGTCATGTGGCTATTCGGTCAGCTGTGAGGCAGGCTGGGAAATCAGGAAATGAGTTGTCATCTGGGTCTTAAACCCATCCTGATTTACTGCCTGAGCACTGGGACACAGCCACTCTACACAACATTGTAGGTAAGAAACGGGAGAATGGGTTCTGGGAAGGCCATTAGCAATATCTACTACCCATGATATCAATGATCAACTCTGGCAAAAGCAAGACGTTGCGGGAGAGAGTCACTCATGTATAAAGAATAGCTATATTTGCACAGTAGCGACATTTTGTGGATTCAAATTGCATGCCACACAAATGGGAAAGCAGGACTCCTGGGTTGCTCCCACCCATGCTTGGTGTCTTAGAAACACTGGAGGGTATAGACGGATCAGGCCTGCTGCCCCCTTGATACCACAACCTGCTATTAAAGAGCAAACTGTTTGTGCTGTTGAATATGCTCTACCAAGTGGGCTGCTTAGCTCTTAACGACCCAGGTATTCCTAAACAGGAAAAGATATCTTAGTTTTAAGATGCTTTTTTGGTTAAATAATGATCATCTCTTAAACGGTGATTTCCCAAATTTCAGACATTCTTGTATACTTCCTAATATTTTCCAAACCTGCATACTACTTGTTCTATTTAGTTAAGTAGCATTTTTTTTTATTCGTTGTTTAACTGAAGTTTATCTTTGAAGGAAAACTTACAATACTACCATAAAGCCAAAGTCAGAATCACTGGCATAAATAGGAGATTATGAAAAAATAAATAATAATTTGTTCAAAGATCTTTGTTGGTATAGCACCCAGAGTCATCTCACACACCCCTAGTGCTATATATACGTGCCATGCTCTGTGGAACACAAATATGAGAAAACCTTGAGAGACTGAACAGGAATGACTGGGTTTGGAAAAATAGGGACATAGTTGGAAAAGCTGTGATTTGCACTAAGCTGCTTGACTCTGTCATTTCTCAGCTTTATGATATCAGGCCATTTACCCTCTTGGTCCCGGCCTCCTGTTCTGTAAGTTCACAGATAATTGTCATTGTTGGGTACCGTTGAGTCGATTCCGACTCACAGTGACCTTGTAGGACAGAGCAGAACTGCCCCACAGGGTTTTCTCGGCTGTAACCTTTGCAGAAGCAGATCACCAGGTCTTTCTCCCGTGGAGCCGCTGGGTGGGTTCAAACTGCCGATCCTTTTGGTTAGCAGCTGAGCACTTAACCATTGTGCCACCAGGGCTCCTTCGAGAACTAATTACCTGCCTATTAAAAGGTGCTAGCAGTGATCCTGGGTCATAAAAGAAAACAGTCATAGATGGTATTTTGGGGACAATTGGAGAAATTTTTAATGGATACATTTTAGATGTATTCTGGAATGATTGCTAATGTTCTTAGGGTGTTTATGGCATCAGGTTATGTAGGAGAATGGCTTTGTTCTCATGAGGCCACAGCTGAAGTATTTAGGTGTGAGTTGTCATGAGGGCTAAAAGTTATGTTCAAATGGTTCAGCACCCACATCGCAAACTTGTACGTACAGACACACACAGAGAAAGTAATTGTGGCAAAATGGTGAAGACTACTGCGTCAGAGTTAAGAGTATACAGGTATTTACTGTACTATTCTTTCAACTTTTCTGTAGATAGAAAGTTTCAAAATAAAAGTTGGGAAGTTAAAACAAAAAGGTTATTGTGTTAGTAAAACGGAAACATAAAATGTGCTGGCTCAGCTCCCGGCTCCTGGCAGATAGTGAATGTTTTTGTAAGGTGTCTTCCAGTCTGTTTTCGACTCCTAGTGACCTCATGTGACAGAGCAGAACTACTCCATAGGGTTTTCTAGATCAAGAGGTCTTTCTCCCATGGAGCTGCTAGTGGGTTCAAGCTGCCAACCTTTGAGCCACCATGGCTTCTTATATAGTGAATGCTCAGTTCACAGTTGTTCTCTTCCCTCTCTCTTCTCATGAATGGCTTTCCTACCGATCATTATTAAAGCAACAGGATCCAATAAATGACTCCAACATCACAGCTGGGTCCAAGGCACACATAGCATAGCCCTGAGTCGATGGTGCCTTTCCTCCATCCCCGGGTGTCTTCCGTGTCCCTGAAATGACTAAGGACCGTGCGTCTCTGACCAGGAGGTTCTGATGGGAGTGAGGCATGGGACCTGGAGATCATTTCTAGAAAGAGGACAGATCATGTCCCTTCTCTCAGGCCCTCCTCGATGTTCCTAGACTTCTGCTCTTTCTTAGAAAAGACCGCACTTTTACAAGACACAGAACTGTACCTTTAATAGCCAGCTAATCAGAGACTCCAGCGTGGCTGGGATGGTGTAACAATTGGTGATTGTTTTAAATAACAGGTATCTGCCTTGTGTTATATGAGAACAGATTTGGCCTCCTTCAGAAGAACACAGGGGAGGAAGCTTTGAACTTCATCATGGCCATCAAAACAGTAAGCATCCGCTTTAGGAGAGCAGTTTTCCCAACTCAGGTTTTATAGTTGAGAACTTAACAGATGGACATCACCGTGTTTCCCAAAGGGTGGCACGCACACATATTTTATTTCAATAGTTAAATGTTTCTGTTAAGGTGAATTATATATTTTAATGTGTATCTGTGCATATATGCAGAGGTAAAAGAAGAACATTAAACCCAATATTTCCTTGCTTAGGCAAGGTCCAAGTAGGTGTTTCAGCTCAAGGCTGGTTGATTAAAACTATGGTTTAAAAGAGTGAAAATTTTCAGATTTTAATTTTTTTGAATAGTTGAGTGATATGTGGATATGGTAGAAACTGAAATTAGCTTGAGAATGACTAAAGTTTGGGAATTCATGGAAATTGAAGTGAATATCAAAGTTAGAGTTTTTAAACTTTTTTTCTGTTTTACTTTTAGGTCATAAGGTTTTTGGTTAAACAAATCCAGTGGAAAAATTATAATTTTCGATATTTCTTGGGAGTGGGGTGAGGGCAGCAAGTAGGTATTTCTTCTAGGAAAAGTGTAGTGAGGGCTTTGACTTCTTGCCTTTTGGGGTACAAAGTGTGCTGGCAGGGATGGATTACCCAATAAGTAAGGTACACACAGACTTACTTGTGCTTACTTAGTAATCTGTAGTGCACAGTTTCACGTTTTTCACCACATCGGATTACTAAGTAAATGCAAGTAAGCCTGTGCGTACCTTGCTTACTGGTTAATCCACCCCTGGGTGCTGCTATTTGGAATGCCCCTCTTTCCTAATGAAGGTTGTCTTTGAGAGAATGAGAATCTGGGGTGAAAGGCACTTGTGTTTCTCACAGATGATGAGCACATTTGGGAGGATGATGGTCACCCCGGTGGAGCTACACAAAAGCCTCAACACGCGGGTCTGGCGGGACCACACGCTGGCCTGGGACACCATTTTCAAATCAGGTAAGAGTGGCCTCTTCCACACTGGCCACACACACTCCCAGCGGCCCTGTCTTCTGGCTGCTGTGGGAAGCCTGGGGTGATCTTCCTGGGCTAACCACCTTGGACTCTCCAGGGATCTGCTCCAGCTGATTCTTTGCGAACGCATGAGCTGGGGCTTGCCCTCCCGTAGAGGAATTCTAAGGAAAAGGCAAGGAGTAGCTTTCCGTCGTCATCTTTGGCGGCTATGGGAGGGAGTAAGAGCAGGAGCTTTGGAGTCAGAGACGCCTGGGTTCAAGCCCCGGTTCTATTACTGGGCGTGGTGGCTTGGCCAGTGTGCTGTCACTTTCTCATCCTCAGTTGCCTTGTCTCTAAAATGGGCCAATAATAATAATAATGCCTACCTCAATGCAGCTGTTTCTAGGGTTTTTATAAATAGCATAAAAACCTTGCATGTCACACTGTCTTAATGGATCAGAGCTATTTCTGCTTAATATAGAGGGAACATTTGGTGCCAGGTATTGTGTGGTGCAAACGGTTAAGCACTAGACTACTAGCCAAAAGATTGGCAGTTCAAGCCCACCCAGAGGCACCTTGGAAGACAGACCTGGAGATCTACTTCTGGAAAGTCACTGTCTTGAAAACCCTATGTAGCAGTTCTACTCTGCATACATGGGGTTGACGGCAACTAACAGCAACAATAGATAGATGATAGATAGATAGATGATAGATGATAGATAGATAGATAGATAGATACTGTCTTAGTCTTCTAGTGCCGCTATTTAACAGAAATATCACAAGTGGATGGCTTTAACAAAGAGAAATTTATTCTCTCACAGTCTAGTAGGCTAAAAGTCCAAATTCAAGGCATTAGCTCCAGCCGAAGGCTTTCTCTCTGTTGGCTCTGGAGGAAGGTCCTTGTCATCAATCTTCCCCTGGACTAGGAGCTTCTCCATGCAGGAACCCCAAGTCCAAAGGACATGCTATTCTCCTGGCTCTTGCTTCTTGGTGGTATGAGGTCCCCATGTCTCTCTGCTCGCTTCTCTCTTTTATATCTCAAAAGAGCTTGGCTTAAGACACTATCTAATCTTGCAGATCTCATCCATATAACTGCTGCTAATCCGTCGCATTAACGTCATAGAGATAGGATTTACAACACACAGGGAAATCACATCAGATGACAGAATGGTAGACAGTCATACAATACTGGGAATCATGACCTAGCCAAGTTGACAGATATTTTGGGGGGACACAATTCAATCCATGACAGATACCAAACCGAACCTGTTGCCGTTGAGTCAATTCCAACTCATAGCGGCCCTATAGGACAGAGTAGAACTGCCCCATAGGGTTTCCAAGGCTGTAATCTTTATAGAAGCAGATTGCTGCATCTTTCTGCCGCAAAATGGCTGGGGGGTTTGAACCACTGACCTTTCGGTTAGCAGCCAAGTGCTTAACCACTGCGCCACCAGGGCTTCTTTGTATACATATAGAATTGTATATATATATGTGGGTGTGGGTGTGTGTGTGTGTGTGTGTTTATTTAATCTTCACAATCTCACAACAAATCTTTTATTGGCCCCAGTGATGCAACAGAGACACATAGAAGTTAATAAGTTAATAAGTCAATCAAGATTCCACGCTAGGTGATGGCAAAGCTGGGGTTTGAAGCCAGGCAGAAGAGCTCTAGAGGCTCAGACCCAAACCATGGGCCAAATATTCTCATCATCGCCGCTATCGTTACTCTCAGGGTCGTTTGTATGATGGATTGGAGTGAGGGAGACACATGCCTAGCATGTACTTTATTAATCTTGGAAATTTTTACAGCATTGTCAACATGCACGGGTATTGTACTTTCCTGTGTGGGCGTGTCTTTGGTAACATGGTGGCAGTTGGGTTCCTCCTCTCCTCTATTGCCAGAATTTGGGAGCCAAACCTTCCTTTGCCTCTATTTGTGGCTATATCAGCTGAAGTCCTGGATCTAAAGTTCAAGTTCTGATTCTGACAGTGAGCCCTCGTCCTACCTCCATCTCATGCTCATCCCTTCCATATTTTGGTCGTTGTTGTGTGTCATGGAGACAGACTTATAGTGATGCCATGTGACGGAGTAGAACTACTATGGGTTTTTCTTGGCTGTAATCTTTAAGGGAGTAGATCGCCAGAGCTTTCTCCCACGGAGCCACTGGGTGGGTTCAAATCACCAACCTTTCGGGTAGCAGCTGAGCACTTAACCATTGCTCTGCAAGCGTTCCTTGCTTCTATGCTTTAAGCTCTTGCTGTGCAGAGTGGTGTGTGGACTGGCAGCACTGGCAACACCTAAGATCTTGTGAGAGAAACCCACTTGCCGCCACTCCAGACCCTGAGTCAGAACCTGCCTTTTCCGGAGATTCCCAGGTAATTTCCATGCCTGTTAAAGTTTGAGAGGCATTGCTCACGTGGGCTTTGAGGAGTCCTTGCCACTTAACACGAAGGCAATATTAGCTTATTTAACAAATTGTCAGTGTTCCTAAAAAGCCCTTTTATACATTGCAAGAAGGATTTTATCTAGGTTCTTTTGTTCTTTTTCTGATCTTAGTCTCCAACTAACTCTCTCTCCCCTTCCTCTTCCAATAGTCAAATCATCTATCAACAGCCGGTTAGAGAAGTATTCTCAGACACCGAGTGCAGATTTCCTTTGTGACATTTATCACCACAATCGGCTTTCAAAGAAAGAATTGTATGCTGCCGTCACGGAGCTCCAGCTGGCTGCAGTAGAAACGGTAATGCTGGGCTGATTTTACTTTGCTACATAGTCTGCACAATTTTTTCATGATGAATTTTAAATAGTCATTCACCAATTCACTCATTCCACAAGGATTAACTGAGCACTAATTTTAGCAAAAATGCAGAGTCCCATCCTAGATGCTATGGCAAGTCCAGCGCACAGTTCTTGTACCTAAACACGTGGTGGTGTTGTTAGGTGCTGTCCAGTTGGTTCCAACTCACAGTGACCCCACGTACAACAGCACGAAACACCGCCTGGTCCTGCGCCATCCTCACAAGCGTTGCTATCCTTGAGCCCATCATTGCAGCCACTGTGTTAATCCATCCCGTTGAGGGTCTTCCACTTTTTCACTGACCCTCTATTTTACCAAGCATGATGGCCTTCAGGGACTGATCCCTGCTGATAACATGTTCAAAGTATATGAGACATAGCCTGGCCATCCTTGCTTCTAAGGAGCATTCTGGCTGTACCTCTTCCAAGACACATTTGTTCATTCTTCTGGCAGTCCATGGTATACTCAGTATTCTTCGCCAACACCATAATTCAAAGCCATCAATTCTTCTTTGGGCTTCCTTATTCATTGTCCAGCTTTTGCATGCATATGAGGTGACTGAAAACACCATGGCTTGGGTCAGGTGCGGCTTAGTCTTCAAGGTGACATCTTTGCTTTTTAACACTTAAAAGAGATGTTTTGCAGTAGATTTGGCCAATGCAATAGGTCATTTGATTTCTTGACCGCTGCTTCCATGGGCATTGATTGTGGATCCAAGTAAAACATGTGGTAGGAGGAGAATTAAGGTGCTCTAATGACTACAAAAGCAAAAACCAAACCAGTCGCTATCCAGCTGATTCCAGCTCCTGGTGGCCTTGTCAGAGTAGAACTGTGTTCTACAGAGTTTTCAGTGGCTGATTTTTGGCAAGTTAATCATCAGGCCTTTCCTTTGAGGCACCTCTGAGTGGACTCAAACCTCCAACCTTTCAGTTAGCAGCCAAGTGCGAAAAATCTGCACCACCCGGGGACTCAAAAATCCGGAGTAGGATATGATAAGCGGCGAGAGAAACATGCAAACCGCTGTGGGAATTTGGATGCGGTGACGTTTCACACCCTACTACGACAGATAATCTAGATTTTAAAAATAGGATATATTATAGGTGGTTACACGTTACCACTAAGTACCTCACTCCGCCTATTATTTACTGTCAAAATATTGAAATACTCTCTCCGCCGAGCTGATACTATCTTTCTTTTCTGCTTAAAATTGTAAAATAGTGAGTTAAGAAAACTTGATTTTAATTCCAATGAAACAGTTTATTTTAAATATCAAAATTCTGCCTCCAGCGTGGTTGATAGTCATAGTGGATACTTAGCGTAGCTAAATCCCAAACATGAACACCGACATCAGCACTTGCATGGCTTTAATTGTCTTTGTTTTATTTTTCAAGCTGATATTGGAGTGACGGATATTCATATTTCTCATAGGTCCAGCGTTTCGTATGCTTTATAGTCATTAAGCAGAATATATACCAGTTCACTTCTTTTCCGTGTTTATTCCTTCTGTAGTGTTTCTTGTTGGAAGAAAAGGTAGGGTCTTCTACGTCAGTGGAATAGTAAGGTTCTTATTTCTCCTCATGCTCCAGAAGTGGGGATTCCTTTTAGGTCACTTTCCCGTTGGCTCACCCTAAGAGGCCTTAGAGTGATAAAAGTCAACTTTCACCCATTCTTCTTCTTCTTGTTTTTCCAACTGGAATATGAGCTCCATGAGGGCAATGACTTGGTTTTGTCCACTGACATATTTCCAGAACCTAGACCAATATTTAGTATGTTGTAGGTGCTCAATAAATATTTGTGAAATAGGTTAAAAATACAGCAACTATTGAGTGCCTACTATATGCCAGGCACTGTTCAAGTGCTTGAGAGGCCACCATGAACCAGAGACAACGGTCCTCCCCGTCATGGAACTTACATGCTAGTGGACGTGTAAACAAACAAATCTGATCATTTCAGATAGCGGTAGGGGCCTTGGAGGAAACCATGATATTGGAGCTGACTCTGGAATGATGAGAAGGAACCAGCCACATTAAAATCTGGTGGAAGAGCACTGCAGGCAGAGGAGCGGGCACATGCAAAGGCCCTGGGGCAGAAAGAGAACTAGAGCTAGAGCAGATGCAAATGTGGTAGGAGTAGGGTCTTTTGAGTCTTATTACACCTGTCATGGGAAGCTCTCGGAGGGATTTAAGCAGAGGTGTGACCTGATCAAATTTATGTTTTGAAAGGTGGAGAATGGACTTAGTGGAAGCAAAATGGGTAGTTACAAGATCCACTGCCTCCACGGAGGTCAAGCTGGGATAGTTTATGCCCCTGAGGTTTCCCAGGCCACTCCCCACCCTCAGTCACCCCCTGCAGTTACCCTAACAGGCCCAGACTGTCTTCCATGGCTTTGGTGAAAGCTACAGTTATCTGCGTTTTGGAAGCTCTATTTGGTACTTGTGGTGAGGGACCCATTGATATAGTTAAATCTGTTTCTTTTTTAGTCCTGGCTATTCTGAAGGTCACAATTGGAAAATCAGAGAAATCTGAACGTGTTTCTAACTTGGGGGCTACGCCCTCTTCCTGTTTTGTAAATTGGAGTCTCGTAATAATGGCGTCCACAGTTTATTTGCAGCCGAGGCTGCTGCTCCTCTGACATGAAGTAGCCCGCCTTGGAGGCATCTTCTTCCAAAAATAATAAATAGCATTGGCTCGGCAGCGTCTTGCACTTTGCTCGTTTGTATGAGCAGCACACGGCACTTCGCGAAAGCGTCTTCGTGTCTGCAGAGGAAGCGTGCAATGACTATTTCCAGGAGGAGTATTTGGTTTAAATTAGCTAAAACAGGACCAAAAAAACAATGCGCTTGGCTACCAGCAGTGAATATTACATAGCTAAAAGCTGCACTGGCTTCTTCCACCAATATTTTGTCTCTTCCTATTGCCTTTGGAAAGGAAATAAAGGCTGTCACTGAAAAGGACACGGGCCTTTGTCGGAAACTGTAGCTGTTTCCTTGAAATCCTCCTCTTGATGCTAGAATGTCTTATTTTGGTGTTGGCATCCTCCTTCACAGGCTCTCTACATATGGCTGGAACGCAGAATGTAGATGACGCCTGTTTTATTTTCGCGGTAACTTTTTAGGGTGGGACAGAAAACTTGTCTTTGAAACTCGAGAAATGCCGTTTCTCGTGCATTATCAATGTAAAATAAAAGTAACTCTTAGAACCAACACTCCTTCTCAGCCCCTCTCTCCCCACTCAGTTTTTATATCAAAATACTTTTACATCAAACGATGCTTAATTGAACTTTTTTATTTGCAGGTAATTGTAGCTTCCCATGCAGTTCTAAGAAACAAGAGAGAGGGATTCTGGGTACCCTTCACCCAGCTTCCCTCAGTGGGAACATCTTGACGTTGCAAACCACTGAGATTTCCAGGTTGTTTGTTGACATTGAGTCGATTCCAGCTCATGGTGATCCCATGTGTGTCAGAGTAGAACTGCTCCATAGGGTTTTCAAGCTGTGACCTTTTGGAAGCAGATTGCCAGGCCTTACTTCTGAGGCGTCTCTGGGTGGGTTTGAACCACCGACCTTTTGGTTAGTAGTCCAGTGTTTAACCATCTGTGCCACCCAGGGACCCCCCAGTGGTAATATCTTGTGTAAGTAAAGTACAGTATCACAACCGGGAAGTTGATGTTGATGCAATCCACCAGTCTTATTCAGATTTGGCCAGTTCTGCAGGCACTCATTTGTGTTCAAACAAGTTTTGTTACAAACTACATTTTACTGGTCCTAATGTAGCTGGTTATCTAAAGAAATCTGTTTTGATTCCTCGGTGAGTGAGCTGTCCTTACTTGATACGTTTTGTAAATACATCTGACTTCTCGTACATTGGATTTATTTAAGGCACAGCGAATGAGGACACGTGAAAAAGTATCACTGATAGATTTGCAGAGCACGGTGCTAGCATCAGCCTTCCTGTTCAGCTCCTGCTGGTCTCAGGCAGTTTGGTTGCTCCGACTTACATTTGTGTCCATTGGCTTTCAGACGGCAAACAGCTTAATGTGGGCACTCTACAATTTATCCCGACATCCCCAAGTGCAACAAAAGCTTCTTGAGGAAATTCAAAGAGTATTTCCTGCAAATCAGATGCCCCAGGCAAAGGATTTGAGAAATATGCCGTATTTAAAAGCCTGTCTGAAAGAATCTATGAGGTAAGAACATACCCCTAAGTCAATACGAATCTGTTAGAACACTGTTTTCTGAAAGACGCAACATGGCGCCCCCCTACCCATGGACACCCTCCCCAGCTGATTCATAAATATTTATCTGACCACAAAAAGGAGCCCTGGGACGAGATTTGTTTTCTGTTACTCATTTCCTAAATCATTTGGGAGAATTCTATTAAATCTTGGAAAGCCACTTTTAAATCAGTACTAATAATACTCTCATGAATGCTCCAAATACCAATTAAGATCAGGAGGCTGACGGAAGGACTTGAGAGGACCGGTCAGCTAGGGAAGCATAGTGTGATATGATAAGACATAGAGACATCTTTGTTTTCGAATCTCTGGAATAAGGTGTTCTTTCAAAATTCTTTTCACATCCTTTCTGGAGAACAAAACGGGCACCATCCTAGGATTAGAAAGAAATACCTTTAACATATAAAAGGGTAGATAATAGAAACTAGAGCAAACGTTAGGCTTAAGGGTGTAGCTTTAACTTCACAAAGGGTAGACAAACGAACCAACAAAAGCCCTAGAACCAACATCAGGCTTAAGGGTAAAGTCTGGAATGAGGCAAAGGAAAACCATTATTAACTACTAATAGGTCCTGTGGTAGAAGTTTAGGTCCTTGAGGGTGCAATCAGTTTGCACTCAACTACTACCCTAAAGTTAGGGTTTGAACCCACCCAGTGGCATTGTGAGAGAAAGGGCTGGCAATCTGCCTCCATAAAGATTACAGCCAAGAAAACCCTATGGAGCAGTTCTACTCTGTACCACATGGGGTTGCCATGAGTCAGTATTGACTCTATGGCAGTGGGTAGTGGAGGCTTAACCAATGCAATAAGGTAGGAAAATGGAAAGAGAGGTATAAGTGTCAGGAAGAGACAGAACTTTTTTATGAAGAGTTGTGATCATGTTATTTTTTGGAGTACAAACTTACGTAGCATTTATTTATTTAACCAGAATCTGCATTCACATTAACACTAAAGATAGTGTTGTAAAAATGTAGTAAAGATATTGGTCTGTGCTCATCCTTACATCTTTGATTTTTATTTTTTTTTTTAGGCTTACCCCAACTGTGCCATTTACAACTCGGACTCTTGACAAGGAAACTGTTCTGGGTGAATATACTTTACCCAAAGGAGTAAGTAGCATTTGTATATTCTGTACCTTAAGTGGTATTTGTAGAATTGTACCTACTTTGAAAGGTACCATTTCTAAGTAGTCATCAGATCTCCCTAAAACTGTTTACTGGGAGAGAATTTATTTTGGAAATAGAGATTGTAGAGCATTATTGAAACGCTGCATAGCATTATATTAGGAAGACTGACTATGGAGATAGAGAGACCTGGCTTCAAGTCTCACCTTAGTCTGTGTAGCCTGAAGTGAGTTCCATGACCTCGGCTCCATCATCTGTAAAATGAGAGCAATAACAGAATCGACCACGTGGGGCTGTGGTGAGGGTGTGATAGACAATCTTCGAGTTCTCTACCTGTTTATTACCTGCCACATTTTCAGCACTCCATACGTGCTGGCAGTCACCACTGTTATACATTCATGGGTTACTTTTACATTTGCAAGGTATCACTTTTGTCAATTTTGCTAGTCAAACCTTCTCTTCTGATTTATTTAAGTGCTGAATGTTTCTGTGTATTTCTAGACAGTGTTGATGCTAAATACCCAGGTGTTGGGATCCGATGAAGACAATTTTGAAGATTCAAGTCAGTTTAGACCTGAGCGTTGGCTTCAAGAGAAGATTAGTCCCTTCGCGCATCTTCCATTCGGCATTGGGAAAAGAATGTGCATTGGCCGCCGATTAGCCGAGCTCCAGCTCCACTTGGCTCTTTGCTGGGTAAAACCCTCTGACTGCAGTTCCCCAGCTGCGTTCTGTGCCACTCCACCCGCAGTTGAACAGAGGGGGTAATTCTGCTTTCTTGTACACGTGTGTTCCAGATCGTCCGCAAATACAACATCGTGGCCACCGACAACGAGCCTGTGGAGATGCTGCACCTGGGCATCCTGGTGCCCAGCCGAGAGCTCCCCATTGCCTTCTGCCGGCGATAAGATGCCTGAGGTGAGCACCTAGGGTTCGCTGTCTTCTGCAAGGTGCTATAAATGACCAAGGAATGGGCTCAGTGCAGGAGTCAGCCCGACTCGGTAGGAATACTATATGCTTAGCCCAGAGCCTGGCACCAAGTGCTCAGAAAATCCTAGCTGCTATTACTGTTTCTACGTGTGTATACAGGAGGCTGGCAAGCATTTTCTGTAAAGGGTCAGTTGGCAAGTATTTTAGGCTTTGGGGGCCATAGGGTCTCTGTCCCATCCACTCAACTCTGTCATTGCGGCATGAAAGCAGCCACAGACAGTTCGTAAATGAATGGATGTGACTGCTGTGTTAGTTTTCTATTGCTCCCATAACAAATGAGCACACATTTAATGGTTTAAACAACACAAAGTTATTATCTTACAGTCCTGGAGGTCAGAAGTCCAACATGGCTCTCAGCAGGCCAAAGTCAAGATGTTGGCAGGGCTACGTTCCTTTCTGGAGGCTCCAGGGGCGAATCTATTCCCTTGCTTATTTGGAACACTGACAGAATTCATTTCCTTGTGGCTGTAGGATTGAGGTCACTCTTTTCTTGCTGGCTGTTGGCTGAGGGCTGTTCCCAACTTCTATAGGCTGCTTACATTCCTTGGCTAATGACCCTTTCTCCATCTTTAAAGCCAACAACTGTGGGTGGAGCCCTTCTCATGCTTCAGATTTCTCCTCCTCATTCTGTGTCTCTGTCAGCATCTATCCAGGATAATCTCCTCATCAAGGTTCGTACCCTTAATCACATCAGCAAAGTCCCTTTGCAATGTAAGGTAACATACTCACGGGTTCCTGGGATTAGGACCTGGACATCTTTGGAGGGCCATTATGCTGTTTATCACCATTATGTTCCAATAAAACTTTATTTATAAAAACAGGCTATGGGCCGTATTAGGTCTCAGGCCCTTGGTTTGCCAACCCCGGGCATGTCTGTCTGTCTATCTATCTATACTAGCCTATATTAAATACAGTGTAATATATTAAATTCCACAGTTATGCCATCACTACCTTTTCCTACAATATAGGTGTTCTCATACTATGCTCACGATTTTGCCATACCCATATACCACCAACTATTTACTTCTTATCACTTAGTTATTTTCTTTGAATTAACATAGGCCTAATATTATACTTTAGCCTTGTCCTAAGATACAACTTCTTTAATGAAATGATGACTTTGGAATTCCAGTTACTTTTCCCTAATATGCATTAAAATTCGTCTGTAACTATTGAAGTGATAAAAAGCTAGCCTAGGAAACCTTTAACATCATCTTAAGTGAAAACATAACATTTCCAACATATGGCTTTATAGAATTACATGTCAGTATTCAAACCCAGCCTCAACCACTCTACCCTTTCAACAGCATCTCCTAGAATTGGCTTAGAACTAGTTGCTCTTCGCCAACAGCAATTGAAGGGGCATTTATGGATAGGCGGAGTGTTTAGAAAATAAGGAGTTACAGATGAAATTCCTGAATGAGGTCCAAATGAATGTTATTTTTCCCCCAAGTGTCTGGTACCATTAGGGAAGCTGTCAACATCTGGACATCTCAAAAACCAGAGTTGAACCAAGTAGGATAACGAGGGGATTCTAGCTTTTTAGAAACTCCCAGACTTAGCAGCAAAGACTACGAGCACCTGTTTATCATGGTGAACCACACCTTTGGCCTCTGTTTTTGTGTTAGCATTTATTAGTACAAACATTAATGTTTTGCTAACAAAGACACTTCTTTGGTAAATAACTGGAGTATACTTTATTTTCAGATTTTTTTTGCCAGAGACCACGAACAGTGATTTTTACTTTCTTGCAAGAATGATGCTCCAATCCTCTGCATTACTGGGATGCAAACTTCAAAAACCAGAGCGTCCAAACCATCTAAAGAACATGTAGGCCCGCTGCTGTGTTTATACTTGCTGTGCTATCTATAAAGATGAGGGTATTTATTAGGAACGTATCCAACTCCAGGAACCGGGTTGAGTGCTGGGATACAAGGCACTTTACAGGTTACCCTAACTACGCCGATGTCAGCATCATCCTGACTTACCTGGAACTGCCCAGGACCTGGCTCTTTCTTACCTCCTATGACCTGAAACGGAGACTGGGTACTTGTCAAACCATCAGGAAAAAGTGGCTAAGGGCTTCTGGGCCTCCCCTACCAGATTCACCATGTGAATATTTAATTCTCAAGAGTCAGTTTACATTTCACAAATGAAAGACCTAACCACTGCTGTCGAGTCGATTCCGACTCATAGCAACCCTGTAGGACAGAGTAAAACTGCCCTGTAGGGTTTCCAAAGCTGTATAGCTGCTACATCCTGCTCCCTCGGAGTGACTGGTGGGTTGGAACCACCGGCCTCTCGGTTAGCAGCCAAGCGCTTTAGCTACGCTGCACCACCAGGGCTCCAATGAAGACCCACTGCAGCTAAATTGCTGCAGCACAGGGCAATCCTGATGATTCGTTTATTGTAACTCTGTTGAATGCAATATTGGGGAAAATATTTCTTAACAATGTAAGCTAAGCTAAAGCCGCGTGAAGCACTTTTCCTGGTTTGAAATGAAAACATAATTTGGAAATTAGAGAATACCGATAGTTTAAGTCCCTGGGTGGTGCAAACAGTTAACACGCTCGGCTGCTAACAGAAAGGTTGGAGGTTCCAGTCCACCCCGAGATGCCTGGGAAGAAAGGCCTGGAGATCTACTTGCAAAAAATTAGCAATTGAAAGCTCTCTGGAGCACAATTCTACTCTGATGCTCATGGGGTCACCATCAGCCGGAGTCGACTTGAGGGCAACTGGTATATTTTCAGAAGTACTTTAATGAAGTCAGAATCTCTTATCTAAGAAAGTTTGTTTTAATACATTAACAATTTTGTTTTGGTTAAAGGACTCCGAAATTATTTACTTTGTTAATGTATTTTTCTCTGTGGGCACTGGGATATTGATCAACAGTTTTTAAACGTGGGTGTGTGTCTATGTGTGTATTCTAGTGATAATTTGCCTAAGTCATGTTTTTTGGGGTTTTTTTTAAAATGTATGTACAGTATTTGACTTAGGGTTTGTGGTTTAGGGCAATGCTCTGAAGCTTAGTCACAACTTAAAAATATTCAGAGTGAGTAAGAAAGTGACTTCTAATGCCTTAATTTTTCCGTCTATAGAATGGGACAATAGTAAAATTTGCATATATTAGATATTAACTGTATATCATTTGTTATGTGTTTTGAACTCCTTGGAAAAATATAATATAATAAAGGCAAAATTCACTGAGATTTATGCAATACTTATAAAACCTTTTTCTAAAAATTGTGTTAACATATGTTTTATTTGCATGCGTTTTTACTTACAGTTTTCCTAAAAGCATACTGTATAATTCTGTATATTTGATAAAGATTTCCATTTTTAGGTTATATTTTAGAATACTTCAAACATATAGCATACTTTCATATCTTTGTATTTTAATAAATAGGTATATTTTGCTAAAATAGGTATACGCTTTCACCCTGCTGTGAGAATATTTTTAGTAGAATTGTAAATCCGTATGTATTGTCAAATTTCATCTGTATATCCTCTTTATCTTCTCTGGAAGTAAGAATAAAATTTTTAGAACACTTCAGAGATCTCTCATTGCATTTGTTACAGCAAAATTAAAAATTTTAAACTTTGTCTTACGAATAGGAAATTTTCTCATGTGGCCATTTTACAAGCCCCATCTCACAAAATCTACCCTTAACAAAAATTTAGACTTAGATAACAGTGTTGCTGAAAGATGATTTTTTTTTTAATTGATGTAATTAAATGAAGTTTACATTTCAAGTTAGTCTCCCTTACAGAAGTTTTTTTTTAACATACATTGTCATGCGACCCCAACCGCTCACCCCATTCTTCGACAGCACACTCCTCCCCTCTGCCCCTGATTCCCCATGAACATTCAACCAGCTCCTAACTCTGTCTGCCTTCCCCTCTCACCTCTGGACAGAAGCCACGCCTTTGGTCTCTTATATCTACTTGTCTAAGAGGCACATTCTTCACGAGTATCACTTTATGTCCCGCAGTCCAGTCCAATCCCTGTCTGAAGAGTTGGCCTCAGAAATTGTTTTAGTTCTGGGGTGATGGAGAGACCAGGGACCATGCTTTCCAGGGCGCCTCCAGTCTTAGTCAGACCATTAAGTCTGGTCCTCTTACTAGTATTTGAGTTCTGCATTGCATCGTTCTACTGCTCCATCAGGGACCCTCTGTTGTGTTCCCTGTCAGGATGTTCGTTGATGGTAGCCGGGCACCATTTAGTTCTTCTGGTCTCAGGCTGATGAAGTCTCTGGTTTATGTGGCCCATTCTATCTCTTGGGCCAATACTTTCCTTGTGTCTTTGGTGTTCTTCGTTCTCCTTTACTCCAGGTGAGTTGGGACCAATTGATGCATCTTAGATGGCC